TTTTGTTTTGCTTAAAAAAACAGTTTGAACTTCGTTGTCTGACTGTAGATGGCAAAACTTACAGGGATGTTTTTCAAATTGAGTTTGAGGTAATTATCACGGTCGTACCTCGCTTGAACATGATGCAAACCCAATGCATGAGCGAGCTCATGTGCAGCTTTCCAGTACTGAAAAAAGATAAAGGATGGCGGGTATAGAAAAACACGGTTCATCCGGAAAATTGGCAGAGGCAGGGAAGAGAAGGTAGATTTGTAAAAGATCAAAACCGTTGCCTTGCTTGACCTTGATTTGAATCACTTTTCAGAGTAACCAACTCTGCCACTGCTACTGACCTTAAAGGCTACTACTTTATAACTTCAAAAACATACCATTGTACATCCAGGATTGTTTAGAGAAAGGTTCTGCAATCGGTTCAAGTGTCCAATATTAGAGCTGCATCCGGTGCCTTCATAAATTGCTACACGTGCACGAGCTAAATTTTGTACTTTTTGTCTAAAATCCTTCTCAAAGATTTCGACACACCATTGCTGTTTTCAATCATGTCAATACATGTATTGTCGTGCCAGAATTTCGCACCTTTTCGAGCAATAGCCTTTGTGGCCTCACCTGCAAAATTTTGAAGTACTACATTTGAGACAGAGTATGTTGAGATCGATGCGTTACACGTACTTGTGTTGGAATAGAAAGAAAAGTAGAAGCGGTTGTTAGGCCATTTATAGTCTTTCGGAATTATCGCTTGTCTTCGTTCTCGCTCATCTCTCTGTTCCTCTATTAATTCTTCGGCTTGCTCTCTGTAAAATTTGTTGCAGTAGCTCTTAGCACCACTTAGAACTAGTGATTTTTACTCAGTCAAGACTATATCCCCTTGGTACAAAATTTCCGATAAACCACTTTCCTCGTTTACTTCTGTGATCGAGTCGGTTTTTGCCCTTTTGGCGGGTTTTATTGACTGAAAAAGAACTATGAGTAGAGTTTATCCTCTTGCAGAGCGATACCTTAAGTCTCTGGTCTAGAAGAGCTTGCTGTTGAGGGTTCAGCTTTGGCGCCTTGAGATGACTTTCAAGCCTATTACGAATAGCAAGTAAACGATCCACATCTAGATGCTGAAAGTATCTGTTGTATTGACGTAATTTCTGTTGCATTCTTACCGCTTCCAGTTTAGACAGCGTCTTTCTGAGCTTATTCAGTTTTTCCCAGTCAAACAAACTGGCGTTCACGCAAGCGACCAAAAGTAGGAGGTAGAGTATTCTCATCCTAAAAAAGAGTAATCAGACAAGTGGAAGGAATCGCAGGAGCTATAGACGTTTCTGGCCGGCTTGAAACGGACCGCACTTTTATACGCACCTGATGTAGAGCATAAGACTTGTGGACGTCAGAAGCAGCTATGGAAACATCCAAGGTATGCTTCTGATTTCTTGCATTTTGCGAAAGAAGATCTTGTTCGTGAGCCGCAAGTGTTTGTGAAGCTGTGAAAACACAGAACACTCAGCGTGACTGCCATTGTTAAGAGATGCTTCTGTCAGCTACA